CGACGTTACCACACTTAGGTCGCTGTATTTTGCATTGGTTCAATCTCACCTCGATTACTGCGCCGTGGTATGGCTTCCATTCCACAAGATCCACAGCGACAAAATTGAATCCGTGCAACGCCAATTCACTATGTACGCTCGTCGAGAATACCCATCCGTGCATAACCAATACTCAATCACACCGTACGAGCAGCGATTGTCAGACTTGAACATGATTAGTCTTCGCCGTCGACGTGTCAACGCGTCATTGACTTTTTTCTACGACATCATCAACGGTAACGCTAACTGTCCAACGGTTAGTGACAAAGTCTCATTTAATCATGGGCGTTCATTGAGACACAGCGAACAATTCAAGGTCAATGACAAGCACATGAAGTTGGTGCGTGAAGCTCCAATTCCTCAAATGTGCAAAATGGCGAACATGGTGCCGGAACTTTTCACAGCAGCGATCTCCAAGAAAAATTTTGCATCATCGGTTCGCAAAATGACGGACACCACTTTTGGATCGCTATGCAAACTCGAATGACTACCTGGCCACCCAGTCAATTTTTCATCCAGGGCTGGAATTCTAAGAATTCCACCGAAATCGTTCGGAATTATTTTTTCGTACATCAGACCATATTGGAGTGAAAGAGAGAGATTCCACTATTTATCAGCGTTCCACCGGAATTATTCCGATAACTCAAGGAAGAGTGGATTGTGTGAGAAATAATTCCGGTGGGACGCTGAAAAATAGTGAAATCTCTCTCTTTCACTCCAATTTGGTCTTATGTACGAAAAAAATAATTCCGAACGATTTTGGTGGAATGACTTAGAATTCCAGCCCAGGTAACCTCATTTTTTGTATATGTTCTCCACGAGAACACCTTGATACTGCCCACATTAATGATGAAATTGCGATTTTCATGTTGCCAACAAACCCGATCTATGATTCAAAGCGGCCGAATTCATCAAGGACAAAGCATACTGCCCGGGTGCCATTTGGGTTGCTTCTGATTGCAACAAACATGAGCGGGGCTGTCCCAGGTTCCAACTACCCACGTGGAATTCAACTCTTCTCACACGGATCACACAGCAAAATCAATATTAAAAAACTGACGAATTTTTCCATACATTCTTTTATGTGTATTGAAAAGACGATACTTATCTGTGATGTTTACACTTATTTATTGTAAATTTTTATTTTGATTTTGTGCTTTGTTGTAGCCATCCACGAGTTGGCGAGTTAATATTATTATCTTTCAAGTCAATTTTGAATTATTTACCATTTAGCATCAAATGATCTAGTAACGTTTCAAATCATAGTCCATGTCAACTCAATGCACTCTGCAATCAACATGGATCTGCCTTTAAGACGTAAAACTTCTCGTCAATTTATCTATCGGTTAAATTAAGTGACGAATTTTGCAGTCAAAGTCTTAAATTTAACGCGTAACAGTTAACGCTTCACATAGCCTTTGTTCCTTTGGAAAGGTTTACCAAAGGTTATCCTGGACCGTTTACATAGACTACTATAAGCATTTCCATCTTGGTTGTATGACTGCTTTCGTTTTCATGTTCCTACTATTGTGATTACCTCATAATTTACGAAAAGAGCCAGGTTTTTAACGAGGCGAGAACTGAAAGTTATCGAAAGTTACTGTTACTATTGTTCATTATTTATAAAAATTGTAACAGTCTTGCACTCTTTTCCGGCCAAACCTCTAACAAAACCCACATTATATTCAGCCAGAGCTTGGCGGTGTTAAATAAAATAAATAAAAAAAATATGGCTGCTACTGCAGTTTGATCTACACGTCAATTCGAAAATCATTTAATCCCGTCTGAAAAAAAAGTTGATTGAATTCATGTTTTTGTTCTAAGAAAATCACTTTGCCCAAAATTAAGCAACTAAGATTGACTTGCAACTTCAAATGATTTCAGTTATCTATGATAGACTTACACTTTACTTTGTACTGAAATGTCAATCAAAGAAAGTAATTTTCGTCCGAAATCAGTTAACTGACTACTCAGTTACAATATTTGCACACGGGATATCACCGCAATATTATTGCGGCACAAACCATTTTAAAAACATTTTCAGAACGCTTCATACAAATCCACGAGCTTCTTTTATTTAACACGCAATTTTGACGTTGAGTGATCGTATTTTTGGTGTTTGAATCAATACAGAGAGCAAATGGATTAAATAAAAAAATCAATATTTTGAGACGAACTGGCGCGATGCTTGTGAACACGTGCCTAAGATAGACGAACCATATTTGCTCTACACCATATTTTTTTTATTTACTTGTACCGTGTTAATCGACAAGTTTAATGATGACGAATGTAATTTTTCTTGTTTTATCAACGCTTGGTTCATATGATCAATTTCATTTGGAGCATTTTTTCATCGCTACATTTTCTTTCGTGATGCTTTTGATGCGAATAGTTCAGAGAATTGATAAAAAATGAAATGAATTTTCTTTGAAAGTTTTTCATCATGTTCATTCTATGCCATTGGGTTGATTAATTTAATATCTCGAAAAATACGCAGCACATTTCGAATGAATTGAAACACATGCATTTAACTCAACGGTGATGATGTCCTTTTTCCACAAATTTTTTGCAAGTGCACACAGGATACTCAAAAAAGCATCTTCATATATACACATGCATACATATTTGCATTGCAATACGTCAACCCGTTCTGCATCTTGTTTTTGTTTAGCTGGAGAAGATTAAATAAAAAAACACATGTTGCATTCAATTTCAACGAGTTTTTAAAAAAAGTTCTCAATAATTCTCAATTCTCAATTCTGACGTGTATTGTCGACGTGTTTTATCGATGCACTTAAGTAATGTATATAAAAAGGTATTTCGATGCGAGGGTTTTCAGTGAATTAATAATCATCTTAGCATCAACATAGAAGGAAATTTTTTCCAAATGGAATGAAATATAAAGATCAACAATGAAATTGATCGTGTTCTTTGTGCTGAGTTCAGTGATACTATCAGTTATGGGTAGACCACAGTCGCCATCGTATGAGGAATGGTTAAGATCTATGTATGGTGGTTATATGCCAACCTCCACAGATCCTTCACAGCCACCGGAGCTCAATCAAACTGAAGCTCAACCAGTAGAACCCTACGATAACACAGGTAAAATTACTTTTCCATTCATCGATTAGTCGAACATGATGAGAAAATCATTTTCCAATACGCAATGCCACACAGATCCTCCACAGCCAGAT